CCCAGCAGGCACTGGGCCCGTCCGGCGGCCACCCAGCCCTTATGCCCCCAGCTCCGACGGCAGCTGCCAGAACTCGGCACAGGTCACCTGCCACCCCAGGTGCCCCGGGGGCTCTGCGCCCTCCCGCCAGGGCAGGAAGCCTCAGGGCCCGGTGTTCGTTCTCCCCCCCCTCCCTGAGCAGGTCCAGAGGGCCCCCCAGGGCCCGGTCTGTGGGCTCCCCCGTCTCGTGGCCTTAAGCACCACCTGTACGCTGGTAGCTCCCGCCCTGCCCGGGGCCCCTCCCCAGCCCCTGTCCATGTGCGGGGACCGAGAGGGACCCCAGGCCCTCAGGACGGGGGAGCTGGGGTGGGGGAGCCCGAGTCCCGCTCGCCCCTGAAGGGAAGAGGCCACTGTTAGAGCAGGACCTGGACGCCGCTCCTCCCAGAACCCTCCGGGGCTGCTCCCCGAGCCCCCGGAACCTACGCTGCTGATCCCAGACCCCCCACACTCCCCCTGCAGCCACGTGGCCCCCACACCGCTCCTTAGCCGGGCATCCCTCTGCCCCGGGGCCTCTGCTCAGCCGCCTGACTGTGGCTGGGGCCCGGAGCCCGCCGGCTGGCGCACCCGCCTCTGTTTACGGCACACGCCCCTTGCTGGGGGCCACGTTCCCCACGACCCGGTCTCTTCCCAAAGCACGCCTCCCCACACGCTGCACACTCACTACTTACTGTGTTCACTGTCAGCGGGCGGGCATCGCGAGGGGTGGGCTTCTGAGACCCACAGCAGGGGGCCCCCAGAGGCGAGCGGGTGGCGGCCCAGGTTTCCTCCCCAGGCACCTGCTGGTGGGTAGCGGCGGCTGAGACACCGAGCGGCTGAGGAGGGCGTCCTGTGGTGTCACGCGTGTTCGGGGCCTGTCAGGGAACAGCCTCCGTGGGGCTGCCTGGGGGGGGGTGTCGGGGGGAGCCCGCCGGTCCTCGCAGACTGGAGTCCACACGTACGGCCGGCCCATCCCTGCGCCGACTGCCGGCCAGAGCAAAGCCCCCGGGTCAGGGTCAGCAGACTCGGCCCTGGGGCCAGACCCAGCGCGACGCAGGCCAAGCCGGGTTCAAGAGCCGTGTGCGGCTGCTTTCACGCTGAGCTTCAGAAACCCGAGGCCATAGGAAGGTCGGAAGGAAGAAGGGCAAATTCAGGCCGTGCGGACGCTACGGAGAGAGGCTGGAGTGGCGCAGCCACGGGACGAGGGGCGTGAAGGCAGGAAGCTCTGCCTCGGGGCACGCGGCTCGCAGGGGTTCCCAGCGACACAGGGGAACCACCAGCTCTCAGTCTGCGTGCGTCCCGGCCCTCAGTGTGGGTGATGCAGAACGGAGCCCAGGAGAGCCAGGAGAGAGGAGCACAGTCCCCCGGGGGGAGAGTTCAGCGTCCCTCCCCCAGGCGCTGACAGAGGAGGCCGGAAAGAGACCAGCGGGCCGGAGCAGACGGGAAGCACAAGGGACCGGCTGGGCCCGTTGATAAAGACACAACCTGCACCCAACACCTCGCAACACGCGGACGTCGCGTTTGTCAAAACTGACCGACTGCTGAGTTAGAAAGCAAGCCTCAATCAAGTCAAAGGCCTGAAATAACATGGGACCTATTCTGTGACCACAGGGAAGCCAAGTCAGAGATCAAACACAAAAAGATAAGAAAAGCAATGTGGTGCTAAACAGCCCACGGTTCAAAGAAACCTCCGTGGAAATTAGAAAACATTTTGAACCTAAGAATCATGAAAATACAACCTAACAAACCTTGTGGGTACAGCTCACGCTGTGCTTTGAGGGAAATTCATAGTCTTAAAAGCATTAGACTTGAAAGGAAAAAGGGCTGGCAATCAATGATCTCAGTAATCTCCAAAAGTTAGAAAAAGAACAGAAAGTTAAACTCAGAAAAAAGAGAGGGCAACAGGGGCGGGAATTTTGAGTGTGAGGCCCCCGGGGTAGGGTCTGCTCTGCTTTGTTCCCAGCTGCACCCCCAGCTCTGAGCCTGGCGTAGGTGGGGGCTTAGGTGATTTCTGTGATGCTGTCACTTGTCTCAAAGGAGGGCCCTGGGCCCGAAGCTCTGCTGGGGAGAGGGTGGGGCCCAGGAGGGCAGGGAAGGAACCCCAGGTACAGTCTACTTGTGCTTCTGGAGTCTGGCCCCTCCCTGGGAGCCCTCTCCTCCCTGGGGGGCCACAGACCTCCGCTGCAGCTACAGCCCACCAGCCTGGACGGGGAAGGGGCTGGGGCACCCCCCGCCCTGGTGCGGAGATGCCCCCACGCCGATGGGAGCCCCACAGTGTCCCGCTGGGTGACGCCCAGCCTTGTCCTGGCATGCGCTGGGTGCTAGAGCTACCTGCAGCAGAAGACCTGAAGGCCAAGGGGGCAACAGTGAGACCCGGGGTCTTCTTGGAGGGCTGGCTCCTAACAGCTGCACATAGCCGCCCTTGCCCCCACCCCAGGGAGCAGGAATGGTGACTCAGCCCCCTTCCCTGGGCACACCTGTCCAGGTGAAGCAGCCTGGTAGACAGGACCCCAACGTGCCAGCCTCTAGGGGACAGGTTTCTCACCAGCCAGGACACCTGAGATGTTGCCACGTGGCTTGTGGGCAGGACAGAGACCCGGGAATAACACACAGCCCCAGCCCCTTGCCGTCAAAAGCTAATTATCTTTATTGCATGTGACAACTAAAACCTGTATTAAAAAAACAACAAAGAGGACGATAGCGGAGTGTAGCGGGGCACAAAGGGATGGGGCAGGAGGGAGGGAAAAGAGATCGGCCAATGACCGAGAGGATGGACGATCTGTCCACCGGGGGCTGGACACCAGACTGTCCCCACGCCCACTTCCTGCCCCTGAGAAGTGTCGCCTCCCCGTCTCTGCAGAAGTCACCCGAGGGTCTGTCTTCCCTCTGCTGACTACTTCATCTACAAAAATACCTTAGTTCAGTAATTAAAAGCCACTTGCCCCTAGCAACGCCCAACAGTGCTTCAGATAAAAATAGGGTTTTTTTTGGCTAGAACTGCCAAACGTTGGCAGAGCAGAAAACCCGTTTCCCCCGGTTTGGCTCCCGCAGCCCCTCAGAGCCCGCCTGGCCCCTCCCGCCTGGCATCCAGCCCCTTCCCTCTCCCGGGACATGGCACTGGCTCCCGGGACAGGCGGTGGGGGTGGGCTGCAGGCCAGGGGGACGGGGCTCCAGGGCAAAGCTGGGGAGACAGGCGGGGCCAGGAGTGCGGTGGGCGACTGAGGCAGCCCCGGGGACGCTGAGCGAGCCCCTTCCTCTCCCACCGGAGGGGTCAGGCCTGGAGGATGTCGGGAGCCCCGAGGAAGCCACTGACGCAGCCGCGGGCCGGTGCCTGCCTCCTGTGGGACTTGGGAAGCGCAGTCCTTGCCTGGCCCAGGTGAGCGAGGACAGGGCTGCTGGTGCCAGGGCTGGCCAGTCCGAGGCGTCCAGCCCGGGGCCCTCGGGAGACCAGCGTGGCCTGCTGGTCCCACTCCCTGCAGGGCTCTGGCCGCAGGTCCTGGGAGAAGCAGCTCTGCTCGGAAGGAAGGGCAAGCAGCCTCGAAGCTCCTGCCCGACCCTCGCAGTGCAGATGAGGAAACCGAGGCTGGACAAGGCCGGTGACACGGGCTGGCGGGAAGGGGCTCAGGCCCACGCGAACGAGGACCTCAGCCCTCCCTGGCCTCGTTGTGGGCAAGACAGCGAGTGACCGGGAGGACTCACACCTGCTGACGCCCCGCGCTTGCGGCTCAGGGGACCGCTGGGTGGCTGTTCCAGCACTCTGGCCTTGGGTCACCCACACCTGCTGACGCCCCGCGCTTGTGGCTCAGGGGACCGCTGGGTGGCTGCCCCAGCACTCTGGCCTTGGGTCACCCTGAAGCCCCTCGAGCTTGAGCAGCCAGATGGACAGCGCGGGGCCTCCCGGGCTACGGTCAGTTGAGCTCGATTGTGGGCGAAGCTCCAGGTTGGAGCCTCCACCCCGCAGAAGCCCAGCTGCCTGGGTCACCCCGTCAGCGCTGTCCCCACGGCCCTGCCCGCCCTGGGCAGCGACAGGCACTGCCCAGGCCCAGCTGCGGTGAGGCCACCGTGACCCGCCCTCCGCTCGGGCCTGGGGAAGCGGGGCTGCCATCATCCTTGGCTTATGTCAGCCGCTTCCATGCGACGAGCCCGGCTCACGGTGACCCTGGGGAGCCTTGGAAACGGCCTTGCTCCTGTCCACAGGGGCTCCGTCTGTCCCTGGTGTGTGTCATCTCGACACGGCACAGCCTTGTCTGCAAACCGGGGACGGCCCGGCCGTGCTGTGCCAGCCTGCGCTGGACTGTGCGCCTGGCCCGCGCGCGCCTGCCCGTCGTCCGGGACCCGGCAGAGTGTGGCAGCCTCACTGCGCCAGGGAGCGTCCGGCACACGCTGCGGGTGAGGGCGCCGGGCCGTGAGCGCGGCACATGAGCTTCCTCTCCCCAGCGCCCCGGGCAGGCTCCACGCAGTCAGTGCCACGTGCGGGGAGCTCCGGGCGGGGTGCGAGTGGGGGGCGCCCGGGGCCAGGGCAGCGGTGGGTGGGGAGAGCCGGCTTCCCTCTCGCACCCTCCCCCGCCTGCGGCTGTCTGAGGATGCGCAGGGCCCCGCCTCCAGTAGGGCCTGTCTGTCCCCCTTTCTGGAGGGCTCGGGGCTGTCACAACTCGACGGTGGGGACAAGAGGCTGTCTGTTCCCCCAGAGTCTCCCCAGACCCCAGCCATGGGGGCACCACGGCAGCCCCTGGGCTCCGAGCACCTGCAGGGCTGGGTGGGGCCTTGGAGCTCCAAGGGGCCCTTCTCTGTACCCAAGTCTCGGGGCCAGGCAGGGAACCCGGTGTGGGGTTAGGCTGCGCCTGGAGGGGCTATTGGCGGGGGCTCGAGATTCCTGGACGGGCTGGGGAAGAGGCAGGGATGGAGGGAGAGACACGCCCGGCTGCTCCATGTGGGCCCCTGGGCGGCCCCCAGCCCAGGAGAGTGACGACACAGGTCACAAAACATTAAAAAACCTCTTTTACTGTCAAAGCACAGCCACAGGAGCCGGGATGGCGGGCGTCCTGAGCACTCGCTCTGCGGAGGGGCAGGCGTGGGCCGCTCCCAACCGGCTCGCGGCGTGCACCCCCTGCGGGCCTCAGGGCCCGGCACCCGGCCTCCCTGGTCCACCGCCCGCCCCAGCCAGCGTCACTGGCGTCACTTGGCGCTCTGCAGCGGCCACTGGCGCCGCTCCAGCAGCTCCTCCAGGTGCTGGGCGCGCCCCACCGCGGCCTCGTGCTGCTTCCGCAGGCTGCTCACGGCCTCCTCCTTCTTCGCCAGGGCCACCTTCACCCTGCGGGCAGCACACGCTGGGCTTCCACGCGGCCTCCGCCCCTCCTCCCCAGACCAGATGCTGCCCGCAGCCCCACGGCGGCCCGGCTGGGCCCCGCAGAACCCGAGCGGCTCCCAGAGCAAGGGGCCAGCACACACCTCGGAGGCCTGGCGCCAGGACGGCGTGCGCAGCCCCGAGCCACACCTGCCTCTCAGAGCCCGTGTGGGCTACACGGAGGGCTGGGGGTCCCGCTGCTAACCTCACAGCACCTCGAACTTTCTGCATGGCGCCCACCCATCCAGGCCACGGGGGCCTGGGAGCCACCTGCCCGGAGAGCCCACACGGGCCCTGATGGACCTACCGGGGTGGTCCTGGGGAAAGGGCAGAGCCAGGCCCGCTGGGACGCATGACGGCCTGGGCCAGGCGCCGCTCAGAGGGGAACAGCCCGGGCTTCCTGGGCCACCAGCACGGAGCCCACACCCACCGTCTCGCACTGCCCGAAAGGAGCCAGGGTGTCCCCCGCTCGCCCAGCCCTCCTCGGCCGCGTCCTGCCCGCCCCGCCCCCGCCCGTCTCTGTCCGCACCGCCGGCTGCCCACCTCTGGTGCACCTCCTCCAGCTCCAGCCGCTGGCGGGCCTGCAGCTCAGCCAGCTCCGCCCTGACCTGCCTCGTCTCCTCCTCAGAGGCCGCCAGGCGGTCGGCGAACTCCTGGCGGATCACCTGGGCCAGGTTGCTCCGCTCACCCGACAGCCGCTCGTTCACCTGCGTGGGCGCGGGAGGCGGTGAGCGGGCGGCCGGGGCGGGCCTGCGCCGCGGGAGGGGCCGGGGCTGCCCACTGACCGCCTGCGCGTCCTCCAGCGCCAGCTCCTTCTGCCGCACCAGGCCCTGCAGACGCAGGCTCTCCCCCTCGGCCTCCCCGAGCCGGCCCTTCAGCTCCGTGCACCGCTCCTGGAGCTTCCGCTCCGACTGCTCCAGCTCCGAGAGCTCGGCCTCGTACTTGTCCCGAATGCGCCTGATGCTGGGGGCAGGGAGGGGCGGCGTCAGCCGGCGGCTGGGCGTGCGCGGGGCCCCGGCCCTCCCCGTAGGCGCCCTGCTCACGCCGGGCCTCACCGGCTCTCAGCGGCACGCTCGCTCTCCTCCTTGGCCAGCGCCATGTCGGCCTCCAGCCGCTGAATGACCAGCTCGATCTCCTTATCCCGGCCCTTCCGGATTTCTTCCTTAAGCTCCTGCTCCCGGTTCAGCAGCCACGCCTCCTGGGGGGACACCCGTGAGTTAGGCGGGAGGCGAGAGTGGCCGGGGCCAGCCTCTCGGGCTCCTGGGGGCTCCCGGGCTCCGAGCCACGTGGGGGAAAGAGGCCTCGGCCTGCCCCGGCCTGAGGACCCAGCGTGGGCACAGGTGAGCGCTGGACAAGGCGACCCTTCGCACGGCCCGACGCCCCCCTCCCCCAGGCTGGGGCCCGGGATGGCCAGACGCCACCACCCGCCCCAGACAGGCTGGGGAGAAGGATGGCTCGCCCAGCTGCTGAGGGCAGGGCCTGGGCGGCCCCCGTGCCCAGCAGCCAGAGGGTACGGCCAGCCTCTTGGAAGTCTGGAGATTCCCTCGAGTTTCACGTCACGCCCTCTGTCCCGCAAGCCCGTGTCTGGGATCCTCCTCCACTGCGGCAGCGGCCACGGTGCAGGTGAAACAGGCCAAGGGGCAGGGGTAGCCCGGACAACCGCCTGGCGGCCAGCACGGGAGGACGGGGGGGGGGAGGGAGGGCCGTGTACCCCCAAGAGGCACTAGTCGTGTGGTCTAAGACTGAGGCGGCCCCGTCCCAGGCGTGTCTCTGCCCAGGCACGTGTGTGCGTGCCACCGGTGGCTGTGACCTCAGGCACAGCGGCCACTGGGGCAGGCGGGGTGGACGCGTGTCTCACCACCGCATGGGACCTGCCTGGCCCTCGTCCTTCCAGAGTCCATGCAACAGATGGCTGAAGAGCAGCACGCACGGTGCCAGCTCAGAATACGGCCACCACGCCGCTGAGCAGCCACATGTGGCACCCAGAGGCGAGGCCGCCCTGGCCCCCCAGCCCGCCGGCCGGGGCCCCAGCCCACCTCCTTCCTGGCGCAGCCCGCGGCCCACGCCTGCCTCTCCAGCTCCAGCTGCTCCTTCAGGGCCTTCAGCTCCACCTGGGGGCGGCAGGTGTGAGCACGGGCCCGGGAGCCCCAGCCCGCCATCCCGGGAGCCCCACCCCGCCAGCCGCCACTCGGGCTCGCGGGCACAGACCTGGTGCCGGCGCTCCTGCTCCTCCCGGCCCTTCTCGAACTCGGCCCGCAGCGCTTGCGTCAGCGCCGAGCTGCTGTCCTCCAGCTGCTGCCGCAGCTCCTCCAGCTCGGCCCGCTGCCTGTGGGCCGGCCAGGGGAGGAAAGGTCAGCAGGCACAGGAGAGGTCAGTGGGTGAGGGATCAGGGATCAGGAGAGGTCAGGAGGTGAGCGGTCAGTGATCAAGGGCAGGAGAGGTCAGGAGGTGAGGGGTCAGGAATCAGGAGCAGGAGAGGTCAGTGAGTGAGGGGTCAGGGATCAGGGGCAGAAGAGGTCAGTGGGTGAGGGGTCAGCGATCAGGGGCAGGAGAGGTCAGTGAGTGAGGGATCAGCGATCAGGGGCAGGAGAGGTCAGGAGATGAGGGGTCAGATATCAGGAGCTGGAGAGGTCAGTGGGTGAGGGGTCAGATATCAGGAGCTGGAGAGGTCAGTGGGTAAGGGGTCAGCGATCAGGGGCAGGAGAGGTCAGGAGGTGAGGGGTCAGGAATCAGGAGCTGGAGAGGTCAGTGAGTAAGGGGTCAGCAATCAGGGGCAGGAGAGGTCAGGAGGTGAGGGGTCAGGGATCAGGGGCAGGAGAGGTCAGTGGGTGAGGGGTCAGGAATCAGGAACCGAAGAGGTCAGTAGGTGAGAGGTCAGGTATCAGGAGCAGGAGAGGTCAGTGAGTGAGGGGTCAGCGATCAGGGGCAGGAGAGGTCAGGAGGTGAGGAGTCAGGAATCAGGAGCAGGAGAGGTCAGTGGGTGAGGGGTCAGGAATCAGGAACCGAAGAGGTCAGTAGGTGAGGGGTCAGGTATCAGGAGCAGGAGGGGTCAGTGAGTGAAGGGTCAGCGATCAGGGGCAGGAGAGGTCAGGAGGTGAGGGGTCAGCGATCAGGGGCAGGAGAGGTCAGGAGGTGAAGGGTCAGCGATCAGGGGCAGGAGAGGTCAGGAGGTGAGGGGTCAGGGATCAGGGGCAGGAGAGGTCAGTGGGTGATGGGTCAATAGTAGGAGAGGTCAGTGGGTGAGGGATCAGGAGCAGGAGAGGTCAGTAGGTGAGGGGTCAGGGGTCAGGAGAGGTCAGCGGGAGGCTTGACACCCCCAGCAGCACCTGGCCGCCTGCTGCTCCAGCCGCTCCCTCTCGGCGGCCACCTCGTTGTACAGCCGCTGCCGCTGCTGCTGCAGGGCCCACTGCTCCTGCTCCAGGTGCTGCTCGAACCTGCAGGCGGCAGGGCTGGCTCTTGGGCAGGGCCAGGCGGTCCCAGGATGCTCACGCCCCCGGGCTCTCAGTGCCCACCACAGCCGCTGCCCAGGGGTGGGCTGGGAGGCCACGGAGACCTCACCCCTTAGCTGGCCCCCCATGATTCCTTAAGCCACAGGCCCTCGTGGTGTCTTGTGAAATGGCTTGTGGCAGAGCTGGGTGCCCAGGACCTGAGCAAGCTCCCGCCAGGGCCTCGGTCCTTGTGCCACCCGGGGAAGGGGCTGAGCATCTGGCCGAGCTGTGCCCGGGGGGACTGGACGCTCCGCAGGACACAGGGTGAGGGGAGGGCACCTGCCCCCGAGTCAGTGCTGACACTGACGGTCACCGGCGTGTCCTTGGCCACCAGATCCCAGGGTCTGAGGGCGGCACAGCCTGATCACAGCTTAGACCCAGGCCAAGGGAACGAATGAGAGCGTCCTGGGGCCCAAGTCAGAGCTGCAAGGACCCTGAGGCCACCTGCCCGAGGGTCGCAGCTTTGGGCGCCCGGGGAGGTGCGACCCTGCCCTCGTGGGGCAGTGAGCGCCCAGGCCACCTGCCCCGCCCAGGAGCCCCAGAGCCACAGTCCCCTGCACCCTCCCCGTGCCCTGGGCCCCGGGGGCCCACCTGTCACCCCCACCCCGGCCTTCGAGGATGCACCCACTTCACGCCCAGGGTCCCGCACTTCAGCTGGGAGGCCGCCACCCACCGCTGCCGGGCCCGCTCGCGCTCCTGCTGGCCCAGCGCCTCCTTCTCGCGCTCCAGCTGCTCGCGCAGCTCCGTGGCCTGGCGCAGGTAGCGCTGCGAGGCCCGCTCGTCCAGCTGCAGCAGCTCCGCCTCGTGCAGGCCCTTGAGCTTCCGCACCTCCTGCTTGTGCTTGGCGATCAGCTTCTGGATCTCGGGCTCCAGGCCTGGGCGGGGCAGCGGCTGCTCCAGGGAAGCCCGGGGAGCCCAGGAGAGACGCTGCCCTGTCCCAGGCCCCCAGGCCCCTGCTTGCCCGGCCGTCTCGGGACACAGCCCGGCGCTGCAGCCCAGGCCCGCTCCCGGGAAGTCGGCCCTGGAGCCCCAGCTGCCCCGCCTCGGCCGGCCGCTGCCTCCACTTCCCTCGGCGTGGCCTCCACCCGCCCACCCCTCCGAGGTCAGGCCACCGTGGGCTGGGTGCCGGGTGCTGGGCCAGGCCCGTGTGGGGCCAGTCTGGGGGGCCGGGACAGGCACAGAATGTTTACCTCTGCCCGGGAGGGTCTCGGGCTGCACGTGTGACTGAAGCCACCGTTCTGCCTCCAAAGGACATCCCCACCCTGGCCACCGCAGCTCTTCTCAACCAGTATGACCCACGGCCCTCTGCCCCGTGGCCAGAGGGGGCTGTGGGGTCAGAGGGGGGCGTCCCGGGGCCGTGGGCAGAGGGCCGTGGGGTCAGAGGGGGCGTCCCGGGGCCGTGGGCAGAGGGCCGTGGGTCAGAGGGGGTCGTCTGGGGCGTGGGCCAGAGGCCGTGGGTCAGAGGGGGGCGTCCCGGGGTGTGGGCAGAGGGCCGTGGGGTCAGAGGGGGGCGTTGCGCGGGGCGTGTGGCAAAGGGCGGAAGTGGGTCAGAGGGGGGCGTCGCTGGGGGCCGCGGGGGGGCA